CCATTCAAGGACCAGCGGCATCAAGAGATAATCGAGGGAGACAACCAGTTGCAAACTCCGTCAGAACACCCGACGGAGTCGCATCAGTCAGATGCTCAGACACAACCAATCGAAATGCAAGGACACCACCCGGAACAGGCGGAGCCACGGAATGCAGTCCGCAGATCTAGCCGTCAGGCGAGCGAGATTGACGAGGCACTCTTAAGGGAAGAGAGTTGTGGTGATCCAGACTTCCGTGAACGCAATCCATACACGACCAGGTACAGCTTCATGTCATCCAATCACCGTTCAGGAAGCTCGGCCAATGGTACACCGGGCGAACCTGACATCCAAGTTATTACATGTGATGCGTCAGTGCAAACGGTTACCTGGTTGGACGACGGTCGTTCAACAATCATATGGACTATTACCTTCGATAAAACGTGCTCTAATTCCATCAATAAACGTAAGCATTTGCTGCCATCAATTCCTCGTGTATTTCATTGGTGTCCGCATTTCGGGTTGGAGTCAATCCAGTTCTGAGCTCGAGAGAGCAGAGTTGTATACTGCCGAGCGCGTTTTCAGGTCGCGGATAGGGGAACGGCCGTCATCTCATGGCTAACCGTGAATAAGTTGGGCCTCAGCCCTCCGAATATGCGGTCGCGGACGATCAGCGGCAGCCCTCCAGGATGTGGTGGGTTTACCCCTGGCAAAGGTTCTCCACATAAAACACCACATATATTTGTGGACACCGCTGTGACGTGGTGAGTGTGGCCCACCACTAAATATGGTCATTGCTCCTTGTCGAGATTCACTGCTCGACAAGGTTTTTCAGAAGAGGCGAGTTAACCAACTACTCTGGAATATCGCCGTTGCCTTGCAGTCAGCGCTTGGTTGCGCAAAGGCTAGAGTGCACTCTCGAACAAGGCCTACTCTGGACCGGGAGACCGAGTAGTACAACAGCCCACAACGCCAACAACGATGATCTCTTTGAATTCTACGTGCTTTCAGTCTACTATTTCTGCAACTAGAGACAAACACTGTACACCGTACACACACTCATGCCCTTTCAGCCCTTCCCAATCCCACATCCGCCCTCTTCACCCACCGCGTTTCTCGGGATTTTCAGACGATCGTACAAACACTAGTGCCTCAGATGGAAACTCTGCCGCTGCTTCCTCATGTCTTACCTAGACTACCGTCCAAGTCTTACTAAATCTTCCACCAGCTGAAGCCCTTTGTCGCCTTCGATGCCCATTCACGACCAAAGTCTTAGATGTGAGCGAAATGATCTACAAAGCTGACGGTTCGCCCATTCCAAATCAACAGCGACGTCTTGAACGCTGGGTGGAGCACTTCAAAGCACAGTTTAGCTGGCCACCAGCGTCAGCTACTCACACAGCTATTCCGGCACGCGTCCCATGGTCTGTCACAACAGACCTACCTTCTAATGCGGAAATCCGTAAGGAGATCCAAGCCTCGGGACGTCACAAACCGCGGGACTCCGATGGCCTTCCCCCTGCTCTATTTAAAGATGGTGGAATAAAGCTTGTTCGAGAACTACACGTTCTGTTCTCCAAAGTGTGGAACACTGAGCAAGTCCTCTCCTCGTGGGGGAATCGATTGTTGTCCCCATCTTCAAAAAGGGCCCACGCAATGATTGTGCCGATCACAGGGATATAAGCCTAATCCCGATCGTGTCAAAGCTGTTGGCGTCGGTTATTCTCCGCCGATTGTGCACCACGCGTGAAGAGCAGACCCATGAGGAGCAGGCTGGGTTTCGCGCTGGTCGTGGATGCATCGATCAAATCTTCACCCTCCAACAGCTGCTAAAGCACCGTTATGCTTACCAAAGACCAACGGTCATTGTATTCTTAGACATTCGCGCGGCCTTCGACTCTGTCGATAGGACCGCACTATGGAACTGTTTGTTGAGGAATGGAGTACCTGAGAAGTATATGTCGATCCTCAAAGAGTTGTATCGTCATACCTCAGGTTGGGTTAGGGCCTATGGCCAGCTTTCGCCACCTTTCGCCGTCTCCAGTGGAGTTCGACAAGGCTGTTCTTTATCCCCGTTCCTTTTCAACTTTGTCATAGAGGATGTTCTACAGAACGCCTTGGCCGGTCTAGCAAACGGTGGAGTCGAACTCCTCCCAGGGACTAGAGCTCTGGACTTGGAATATGCCGATGACATCGTCTTGCTGGGTGACAGCACACGGGTAGTCCAAAACGCTTTGAACCGCTTGGCGATCGAGGTATCCAGGTATGGTATGTGCTTTGCACCTTACAAGTGCAAAGTGCTGGTTCAAGACTGGCAGGAGCCTGTGCCTGCATTTACCCTTTGTGGTGATCAGCTAGAAGTAGGTGAGAACTTTAAGTACCTCGGGAGCTTGATCGCAGCTGGTGGTGGTGTTGGGGACGAGATCACATCACGAATAGCGAAAGCTAGAGTAGCTTTCGNGGGAAGAGTGTACATCGCCGCAGTTCTTAGTGTCCTGATTTACGGTCGCAAGACCTGGCCTCTCCGAGCGGAAGATGTCAATCGACTTTCTGTATTTGACCACCGATGTCTCTGAAGCATTGTTTGTGTCTGGTGGGAACATCGGGTGAGCAATAACGAGGTCCATCGTCGTGTGTTGGGTGCGGATAGTCGTTCTCTAACAGAAGTAACCGCTCTACACCGCCTACGATAGCTTGGTCACGTATTACGTATGCCTGCCCATCGACTACCTCCCGTGCTCTCTTCGCACGTACCGGGTAAGACTGGAATAAGCG